ATAATTTATTTTATTTCATCTTCGATTTGATGTATTCACTAATTGTTTAAAGTTGTTTTTTTTTTGTTTATTTTCATGATTAATCTTTTTTAATTTTAATTATTGAAAAATTAAATGTATAAGTTTCATTCGAATGATTTTTGAAATTCATATCAAATTTAAGGGTATCCTTCGTTTTTTTTTTGGGATCACTTATGGTTCTTCGCTAGAGCACAATTTTTTTAGCAGATATGTTTTAAAATTTTTTTTTTCACCATTGGCTTCAAAAATCTAACTCTGACAGAATACGTGATATAATAATGAAATTTTGCATAAGAAAATATTTTAAGGAAATGAAACATCAATATATTACACGTCAATCGAAGGACTTATCTATGTATATTACATTGTCCTCGTACAAGATACATTACGATAGATGATGCTATCTACCGTTGCTTTTATATTTACAATTTTACTATTTTTATGAATTCGTACACTTGGCAATATGTTCATATGTTTATCCCAAAAGTCGAATTTTCGAAAGGAAGGAAGATTTTTAAAATTCCTGGATAAATTAAAAGTCCATTAAAATAAATAGAAGCGTTCAATTAAGAAAATTCTGCTATCATTGTGTAATGAATAAGGAGACGATCGGAAAGCTTTTAGACAAGATTCAACAGGTTTTTTTTGTACCTTATAAGTTCATTTTCAAACATGTTAAAAATTTTTCAAAGTCAGTCGTTTTTTAGAGCGACTACTTCTCTACAAAATATGACATTATTCAACTAAGCTGTAGCCTTTACCTAAGTGAGGCTACAAGCATTTCTTTTTTTCTGTAGTTCCTTTCAGCGTAAAACGTTTGTCGATTTTTTAAAAATGAATATATAGGAAAAACGGAAATTGAAATGTCTTGCCGAAAGAAAAGTGCATTTTGTAGGGTAGTTCCCGGCATAGTTTTTAACTCATCGGAAATATTTTTTAGCGTGTCAAAAATTAAATTGATCTATTTTTTGATTTTTAAATAGAGATTAGGTTTAATTCCGAGTACTAACAATTTAGCGGATTATACAGCTACTACTGATCTAAAAACAATTCGTGCAGTTGGTTCATGTAATTTTCCACATGTTATTAGATTTTATGCTGGTCTTATTGATAAAGTTAGTATAAATTTTTTTTTGTTTTGTTTTTTGTAAATTTATTTATTTAAATAGAAAGAAAGTCAAGTTGTTATTTGTATGGAAGCATGTGACACATCCATGGAAAAATTTTATACAACAATGCATAAAATGAAAGAACTCAAACATCTTGATACATTACTTAAACGTATGATTAATCATGTAAGAAACAAAATTGATATTAAAAAAAGAAAAAGCTTATTAAATCTTCTTGTTTTTTTTTCTAGATTGTTGATGCATTACAATTTCTTAAATCAAAAGGAATACTTCATCGTGATGTTAAACCATCGAATATTTTAGTTAAACACGATCCTGTTATATTTAAAATTTGTGATTTTGGTATATCTGGTCAATTAACAAATTCAGTTGCACATACAATGATGAAAGGAACGCAAGTTTATTTAGCTGTATGTTAAAAGTTTTTAGAATAGATTTTAAAAAAATTTCTACTGTTTTATTTTAGCCTGAACGAATTGATGCAAGTCAAGCACCTGAAGGTTATGGTATACGATCAGACATGTGGGCATTAGGTCTTTCAACAGTAAATAGAATTTTTGTGATGTTTTTTTTTTTTTATTTTTAAACAAATATTTCTATAGTTGGAAATAGCAACTGGTCAACATCCATTTGCTAAAATGAATGCACTCGGTATTATGAGTGCAATTATGACATGGTTACCAGAACCACCAACAAACTTATCAACAGAATTACAACAACTCATTGTTTGGTTGTAAGTTATTAAGTATAGATGAATAATTTAATTGAACAAAGAAAGAAAAAAACTTTTTCTACATAATTTCAAATGAGACAATTTAAGGAAATTAAAATATCTTTAAAAAGTTTCTTCTATTTGAAATGAATGAAATATGAGATCTTAATATAATAAAATACACACTAAAATTTCATTTATGTTCAATTCCTTTCTAGATAATGACTCATTTAAATTCGTCCAAGAAAATAAAGATGACACACTTATATATAGGCAAGATGAGCTTGATCTCTGCAGGACAGAAATCGAGACTAAAGGATCCTGTCAAACAAGATGACCATCGTAATTCATCAATGCTAGTTTTCGATTCTTAAACACAGAACAACATTTGACATATATGAATGTTTTGAACGAAAATAGACTCTAATTACATCCGGCTACTCAAAATCTAAACTTGTAAGGAAATAAAATAAAATAAAATAAACACTAATTTTTGTAATAGTCCGTTTCCGCATCACAGATCTGAAAGCAATAATTTTTTTTGTCATGTTTGAGAAAGATCTATATAAATCAAATGATAGAGCATGATGAACTTATTATTAATAGATGAAAACTTTGTTTTTTTACTCAACAAGTATTTATCGCAAAATTCATACACTTTTCTAACCCTAGAAATCGAAAAATATCATTGATTGGCCGATTCTATCAATTCCGAGGATAGCCTATTGCCAAAAATTATATAAATACTAAGATTTTGAATACGAAGAAAGTTATTGTGAATATTATTATACACAATTCAAGATGAGACAAACACTCTATCGAAGTAACTTTAAACAAAATTTAACCGGTATATGACTTCTTAGAACATTAGAATTTGATGAAAAAAAAAGCAATTTCCTATATACTATTTGATGCAGCAAGAATTGCTCGACAAAACGATATTGATGGGTTTTCAAATGATTTTTGACCAGGACGGGAACTAAAAGCGACTAGTTCCATTCATGTTTATTCACACTGATAACACGTTATAAAATGAAATAATCAAAGAAGAGATTATATCAAAAAGCCTATCAGATTAAATAAATAACACTATTGATCGTAGGACAACAACGAATGACATTTTTATATTATCAAATGATATTTGATAGGAATTTTTGAGAAAAAATGATTGAAACTTTCTTTTGATTAGAAAATATAGCTTTGTTGAGAATCTCAAAGTACGATATAAGAGATTTTAATTAATTGAACAAGCAAAACACACAAAAATTTCTTAAGATTGAATGAAATAACATATATTAATATTTCCGCTTGTAATAAACAATATGTACAAATGAAAGATAATCTTAATCATGATTTCTTATTGATTTTTAATATCGTTGTGAATGAAAATATTATTTATTTATTTATTTTTTTGTTTATTGTTTAGATTAAGAATAAAACAAGTCGAGAGACCAGCAACATATGATGAGATTCAAGTATCACCTGCTATGAAATCATTACCTGCAGAAATAACAAATGAAGAGACTGAAATGGTCAAAAATGTCATAGCAAATATTCCCATTATACCTGATGAATATTAAATATTGACTGTGATGTTTATTTTTTTGATTGATATCTCTCTCTCTCTCTCTATGTTATTATCGTAGTTGTCTTCGTTTTTTCTTTCCTATTTTTCTGCAACATGTTTTTTTTTCTTTGGCTCATTATCTTTTTTTTTTAAAACAAAATTATCTTTCGTTTATTAATATAAAAGAAAACAAGAGAGGAAAAGCTGTTAAGCATAATTCCTTGCGAGATTTAAATGTGAAATACGATATAGCTGTTAATATGAAAAAAAAAGAGAAGATATTCATCAACATAAATTTTGATTGGTAAATGATTAGCTATTGTTAATGTATGTCGATGATGAAAGTGTGGAGTACGACAATACTAAAGTATCTATATCAATTTGTGATAGAGGACAGGTATTGTTAAAACATTCGGTAAGATGGACTTTGCCAAGGTGCTTATCACATCTGTAGGGACAAAGTTCAAATTTCTATCTCTATACCTTGACATTGTATTTATACCGTGTTTTACAAGACAAAAAAAGAATGCGTCGATCAATTGTTAATGCCATCTTTGGTAGTTTGTGTTTAAAATTATTTCGATTGGTTTGAAACATGGCTGAACTGATAAAATACACATCCAATTAGATCAATCAGTTCTTTTGGTATGTTTGTACATGTGTGTACTGAATGACTTAGTTTAGAGATTGTATCTATAGTAATATGTTTTGTTATTTTCCTTTCTTCTTTCAATATTATCATTCATCTCGCGAGTAGAACTAATAGCTGGATTTTATTTCTTGAGGTTTTTTTTCTTCGTTATGTGTTTATTTTTTATTTTTTTATTAAATATTATAGATATGTAAGTATATAAATTTACAGACAAATTATTAATTAGCTTGAAATAATCTAACTAAAATATGATTAGTTATTTTCACATCTATTTGTTCTATATGAATCTCTCCTTTCTTAGTTGTATTGAGTGTAAGCATCATATCAACAATAGGATGAAAACGTAGACAAGATGTACTGTTTGCCTCATGATATTTTTTTGTTTTGTTTGCTATTGAATACACATTTAAATGGAATTAAAACATTGTATTTATTCAGAATATATTTTAAATTTTCTCTATTGTAATTTCACATATTTAACGTTTGCATATTTTTTTTATCAAACTTCTTCGATGATGACAAATAGAAATAAACAAATCCATATTTGGATATTATTAATAGTCATATTTAGGCTATGTATGTATGAATATATTTGCATGATGTTTCTTAGATCATTAGTCTACAAATACAAAACTAAGTAGGACAATGAAATATTGAATGCATATATTATCTAAAGATTATAATTATTTGTCAAATATAGTGGAGGATTTAATTCATTTCTATTGTGTTCTATTTATTGCTTTTCTATTATAAGGAGAATATTATATAGTGCTAGTAAAAATATCTTTTACAACGCAAAATGAATTATCGAATGATTACTATTATAAAATGCTAGGGATATTCTATAAACTGATAGAGTATTAGATTGTAGAAATACTAAAACCATCAACAGTTTCTTTGATTTTTTTTAGATTATATATGGCACCATTTACATTTACACTCTTTGCACCCTATAATAAACAAGCAGCAATACGGGTTTGTTATTGTTATTGTAAATATTATTTTATTAATTTCTTATGTTGAATTTTTTTAATAGCTAAAAAATGCTAGTGTACGAATGTTTGGGGCTGATATTCGTAAGATTAATTAATAAAAATATTTGAAAATTTTGTGTTTTTTTTTACAGTTATGGAAAAAGACGAGTCAGATGGTTATTTTCGAGCAACTGTAGATTTAGCTGATGGTATTTTTCATTATCAATTTAAAAGTAAAAAAAAAAAAAGATTTGAACTAATAAAAAGATAATATATATATATATGTATAGTTCAAACAAAATCTTGGTTCGAACAAGAACCAGAACCTGCATTACCAAATTATGATGATGATGAATATATAGCAATGAGTATGTATAAGTTTTTATCTTCACGTTGTTCTTTTTTTTTTTTTTTTATTAAAACAAATATTTGAAGATTTAATTTTTCATTGAAATTATTTCTTCCTTTTTAGCTCAAGAAGAAAAACAAGAAAAAACTGAAGCATATACAAAACTTATTGATGAAATTCGTGAACGAAATCGTCAACGTGAAAGTGAAGCTACTTTTACAGAAATTTGGTATACATTTGTTGATCCTTATGCTACTGATGTTGATGAACGTGGTTCAGGTAAATATATTTATTTATTAATATCGGAAGATAATTGTAAAATAAAAACATTCATAGATTAATTCTGATCAACGACTGTCGCATGTCGAACTAGAAAACTTTATCATATCCATTGTTTATTGCGTATGGAAGGTATTTGTTTTATGTTCTTTTCGATAAACGAAAAAAAGAACTAAAGCGAATTCTGTTCAAGTTCATTTTATTTTATTTTTTAGTCAAAATAGAATCATTTAATGATTGATTGTTGAGATGTGTAGGGTAAGACTTAGAAAATTTTTTTCATGAGGAAAGATGATACGAGGAAAAGCTTATTCTAATTATCACAAGTTGATTGCTTTTTGAATTGAATCTCTAATAGATTCTATCAAATGGATATTCTCATGAGTGCAGAAGATTTTTTTTCATCTGTAGAACTTGTTGCGATGATCATTTTGTTAAAGAAAAATATTCAAATTTACTCAAAGGATCAAAATACTGGAAAAATTTCGACTATTCATGACTACTGCTAAGTGGTAGTTCACGTTTTCCAGTATTTTGACTTTAGTACTCTTACTTATTGAGTAAATTTGAATGTCTTTTTCATTAAAATGATCAATGCAATACCATCAAAAATACGACTCGCAAGTATTTTGTCGTTGGTAGTATGAATAGAAAAAGCGACCGTTGGTCGAATGACAATGAGTCGCATATTTGACAGAAGTAAAGTTTCTACTTCACTTCCTGGGCATGTGAAAAATGAATGATTTACTTCTTGAATAAAGACAATAAATATTGTCGAATAACGAAAATCGTAACAAACAGAAGTCTCAAAGTTATAGAGAATTATGAAAAATTTTTAAAGCAATCATTTGCTATCACATAAGACTTAAGTCCACTGAACGTTTGTATTTATGCTCATATATAATATTTCTTGTCTTTGAATAGATTGTTAATTATTTTCTGAATCTATTTCTCATCAATCGAAAATATATCTTTGTGAATAATTTAGATGATGCACATAAAGCTGTTGGTATATTAACAGTCAAAAATGGCAAACGAATTATCGGTATGTTTGAATTATTTTTAATTTCGTTAAGAAATTTTTCTACGATAAAATGAAAATTTTTAATATAGAAATTTTTTCAAAAAATAAAATAAATAATAGTTTATTTTTAGATGAATATGAATGGAAATATGATAGTTGTTATTTACCACCTGATGAAGAACTTGTTATTTATGAAATACATGTTGGTGATTTTTCTGGTGGTGATAATGATCCAAATGCTCGTGGTCAATTTAAAAATGTTAAAGAAAAAATTGATTATTTAAAAGAACTTGGTGTTAATGCGAGTATGTTTTTTTTTTTAATATTTAAATATAATATTTACAAATCAATTTTGTTTTTTTCAGTTGAACTTATGCCAATTAAAGAATATCCTGGTAAAAAAAAAACAACAATAGATTTTTCTTTTTATATATATATAATAAAAATATTTATTTCTTAATTTATAGGAAATCATTCTTGGTAAGAATATATTCTTGTTTTATTTTTATATGTAAAAGAATTTTTTATCTCTTCGTTTCATTTAATAATTATTCTCTAGGGGGTATGTATTTGTTGTTCTTATATCATTATAATATTTCTATGTCTTATTTTATTTAGATATAATCCAAGATATTATTTTGCTATTGAAACAAGTTATGGAACAACTAGTGATTTAAAAGAGATGATTGATGAAATGCATAAAAATGGTATTCGTGTTATTTTAGATGGTGTAAGTATACATATTCACAATTAGTCCTAAAATTATTCGACTAGATTTATTTTCAATATCGTAAACACTAAGAAAAATTTAAATGATGATTTGAATAAAGAATTTTGATTTCCAACCAAGTATGTTTGAAGATAAAAACGATTGCTAGTTTTCCGAGGATAGAATCTTCGAAAAACTGAAAATCAAATTTTTCAGCATCTAGAATTTGAATTCATAATTGTGCTTGTATTATCTAGAATGCTAGAACAAATAATTTTCTATAAAATGAAACATCTTTCAGGTCTCTACGACACTTTTTGAATAAGACACATCAAATTTACGGAAGACATAAAAAATGGTATTTCCATACGAAATAACACAAGAAAAAGATTTTCCATTAAGTTGGTGTATCCTTGATTGAAGAATGTCGTCGAGAGCTGGTAAATGTTTTATTATGTAGAGAATCGTTTGCTTTATCATTCCGAGTTAAATCAAACAGAACTACGCCTTACAAATTCTAGAAGCTGAAAGACTTAGTTTTCGGTTTTTCAGAGAGCCTATCTTTAAGAAACTAGCAATCATTTTTATCTTCAAAGATTCTCATTTGAAATAAAATTCTATAGTTAAATCACTGTTTGAATTTCGTCTTAGTATTTATGACAGTAGAAAAAATTGAAAATAAATCTAGTAGAATAATTTTGGTAGTTACTATGCGTTACAGTCAAATTTGAAATTCTAATATTAATCAAGCAAAATTAGAATTTCAGTTTTATCGGGATCAATTAGTAGAAGTAAATTAGCCAATTTGGGGCGATGAGAGTCACCGATGGCATATTTTAACGAGAAAAATAATAAAAAATAGTTCCTTTCTCTTCTTTTTCTAATCAGTGAGTGACACATACCCACTCCATCCCCGTTACTGTCTGAAATTTTTATTACATAGAGTAATGCTTCTCGTTAAAACAATCAAGGCAAAATAATTTTTCGCAATCAGAACAGTACGTTTTGATTCTCTTTGCTGACATTGCACTTGCTTCTCGTGATTGCTGTTGCCTGATTTTCCCATAGCAGCCCGCACGGTGTCTTCGGACATTGTGTGCAGATCTTTTCTTTTCTTCGAGTTTGTGCTTCGAATGATTCGTTGATTGTTGTCTTGGATCAGGTTTCAGCTTCTCGAATGGAATACTAAGATCGTACAAGACTTTCACCGAACTACAGCATGATTATGTAGCTTGTGTCATAGTTTTCTTTGTACATTTATCGAGGATGAATATACATGAAACTGAATATATTAAAGCTATTTTCTATGAAAATCGAATCGCCACGAAAGGATTAATCAAGTCGAAGACAGTTAGATTCTGAGCAAAAAAGGAGTTTGTCTTTTCATAAAGCACCGCTTATATCAAGCTTCTGAATATATTAATTTGTTAAAAACTTTAGTAGACTGTTTGTTCGAATAAATTCAGAATTTAAATTAATTCTATATATAGATATTTATTATTTTTGTGTATAATTTAGGTATATAATCATTGTGATTGTTCATCACCATTAACACAAATAGATCATGATTATTGGTATCATCACAATCCAAAAGATGTTGCTAGTATGAAAAATAAAATTTTATTTATTTATTTTTGCATTTTCTTTTGAAAGAAAACTAATCATTTGATTTGAAGGCAATAATAGAAAGAAAGGATGAGGATATATAAATTAACAAAATGTATTTCTACAATCTAAATATCTATTGAAGAATTTCTTCGTAATAAACTAAACTGTGTATTATTTTCTTTTTCTATTGTTTTAGTGTCATGGGGACCTGAATGGAATTATAGTATGTGATTTAATCTATATAAATAATTTTCTTTTGTTTTTTTTAATCTAAATAAATATTTCATTTTTATAAGATTTTTATGATCCAAAATATAATATATGGCCAGCTCGTAAATTTGTTGGTGATTCAATTCGTTATATGGTTGAAGAATTTCATATTGATGGTATTCGTTTTGATGCTGCACGTCAAATTCAAAATTTTGATTTTTTACATTGGGTTGTTAAAGAAGCAAAAAAAGCAGCTGGACCTAAACCATTCTATTGTGTTGCAGAATTTTTACCTGATGAACCTTGTATAACAAATATTGATGGTCCTATGGATGGATGTAATATTATTTAAATATCTATTTTTTATTTTTAAATAATTCTTTTTTATTTTAGGTTGGCATGATAGTTTCTATTGGGCAATACGTGATTTATTACTTTATGATAATATTGATATTGGTCGATTAAAATCTGTTATTGATTGTCGACAACAAGGATTTTTAGGTGTTACAAATGTAGTAAATTATATTGGAAATCATGATCATGATCGAATGCTAGTTGAATTAGGTAATATGTTAACCTTATAGATATTTCGCTTCGTTGAATTTTCGAAAGTAAATTTCGTTCTGAGAGTTTTTTGTGAAACACGATCTAAGAGAAGTGTAGGTGTAAAAATTTGGATTCCTCCGCTTCACAGTGCGTATCTAGGTGAATATTTGTCTAAAAATAAAAATTGTGATGTCATTGAGAAAATTGGTATCTGATAAAATTAAACTGTTCAACAGGTGGATCCAGTATATTTTTTGAATCTCCAAGCTAAAGTCTATACAACGGTAAAAATTATTTTTTTTCTACAATGCCGTTCAAACGGCTAGTCTCATAAAATGAGCAATCCACTCGCATCCAACCTCCAAATTTTTGCTACAATGTTCTTCTAGCTACTGTCTCTAATCCTTGGTTTAGCGCAAAACGTTCCTGAACTGCATGTAGGTTTGCAAAAAATTTAGGTTTCTCAGTTTTAATGGCTTTAGAAAAATATTTAATCAACAAAAATTGTATCGAAAGATATATAACACAAAAGAATTTTAATGAAAAAATGAGGAAAAAGATCTCTCTAAGGCATTTTTCATCGTAAAACTTTTTTCCCAAAAGAATGCTTTTTCTGTATCATATTCAATCATTTCGAAGCAAAGAAATTGGATCACAGACCGTTGATCAATAACGGCTCGTTATGATATATATATATAAACTACTTCCTATTGCATTTCTGAAGGATTAAGTTAAAGAATGATGCAGAAATATATTCTAAAATAGATAGAATAAAACAATCTGTCTGTGATTGTCAACAGTAGCTACATTGTGTTTCATATTTTAATACTACAGGAATTGTACTAGTAGCTTTCTTTTCAAGTTTAAGTATAAACTTTATATTATAGGCAAAGAGCGAAGTATATTTGGTGAAGAAGCATTTAAACGTATTCGTCTTGGTGTTGTTATTCAAATGACAAGTACTGGTATTCCCATGATATGGATGGGAGAAGAAATTGGAGAGTAAATATCTTTTTATTATCGTCTATAAAATTAGAAGATTCGAATATTTATTTTCTTTTAAATTAGATATAAAGAAAAAACACCTGATGTTGCTAAAATTGATTGGTCATTAATTGCTGATCGTGAAGATAATTCAAATAGTATTAATAAAACTCTTCTTGCATTTTTTCGTGGTTTAGTACTTTTACGTAAAGAAAATAAAGCATTTTTTCAAACAAATCTTGATTTTATACATGAAGATCATAATGCAAAAGTATTAGTTTATCAACGATGGTATTTTAAAAAGAAATACATTTATCTTATTCATACGATAAGAAAAATCATTTTATTTTATAGGTCTGATACAGGTGAACGTGTTGTTGTTATTGTAAATTTTTCTGGTATTTTTCTTGGTAAATATTTAATGGATTTTGTTTGTTTATTGTATAAGAAATAGTTTGTGTTTTTGTTTTTTGTAAATAGCTCATTATCGTGTACCAAATATGCCTATTGATGGTTGGTGGCATGAATGGACATTTAATTATGATGTTAAAGTTAGTTATAATGAGGTACATCTTGATTTAGCTGAACGTGAAGCAAAAATTCTCGTTTGGCTTGGTGAAAATTGGGAACCATCAGCGTCTGAACCTCAACCAGATCCATCAACAGAATCAACTTCAAATAATGATACAAATACTACAGAAGAAAAACCTGAAGAAAAATCTGAAGAAAAACCCGAAGAAAAACAACAATAGTAATATTTAAACAGTTGCGCTTATTGTCTCTGACGTTCTAAGTGCGACTTCTTCTTCTTCTTCCGTAAATGATTTATGCATATGTTTAAAATTGTATATCTTAGAGGACTTAAGAAAATAAAAGATGTATCTTTCAATAGTGAAATAATTAACATAATGTTGTCATGTATCGGTTGTCTTTCTGGATTTTTGTTTCTTCTCTTAGTTCGTTTGATATTTCTTTGTTCTTATTCGCGCACAGTCAACTTTCTCTCCTGTGTATTTACTTTTTTAAATTAAATTAAATTACAAACAAGCTTTCCGTATTCCTCTTCTTTCTTTAACTAAATTGTTTCATATTTCTTTTTATTATTTTTTTTTCGACAAAACAAAATCAAAACTATCCAATTTAATTATGGTACAATCGTAGATTGTTACTGTTCGATGGCAACTATCAGCGAGCTTTATTTTTGATAATATGACTCATGGAATTTTTTTGTGTAATAAAAATCAATACACATATCAACCTTGGTTAATTATCCCGATACACCAAACCATTCATATACTTTATTTGTCTGATTTTTTGATACTATTGAAGGAATGAAAGATGAAAGAATCTGTTTTATTTCTTAACTTGCTATTATCATTGCATACATGGATACACAATATGTTGTATGTATTGATAATAAATGTTTACTTATTCATGATGATAAAGGAATGTGTCGATTCACAGATGCATAAAAAGACCGACTTGAACGTGCATCATTTTCTTTTCCACATTAAGATTGTTGGCTAATCAAATATTTGTTGTACTATGTATCGATTATACTCAACTAAAATAAAGACAACTATAAAGATTCATTATTCTTATCCTCATTCGAGCATTTGCAAAGTGCATAGAGGAGTCTACAATAGTTAGTTGCAATGCTGAAAAATAAAACCGACAAACAGTTGTCTTGATATTATAGAGAAATCATTCAAAGAAGTCCAGAAAATAACTAACAATTTATTCAAGGATAAGAAATATTAGATACAAGCATAAATACGAATGTCTAGTAAACTCTTCTAATTGAACATGAAACCTTACATGAGAATAAGTAGTAATTACTTTAAAAATTTCTCATAATATATATAATTTTTGTCTTCTTTTGGAGCTTCTATCTGCTGCGGTTTTTACTATTCAACAAAGAATGTACTTTTTATCTTTTCGTAATCTTTCGATAAACTCAAAATGTGAATGCCAACATTGAATTACCGTTTACCAGCGAGATCATCTATGAATCGATTTCATGGATAAATCTTCATTTTTCCATGTCTAGAAATTGAGGTTCATGGAAAATGAATTAGGAATCACTCTTTTGGCAAACATGCGACCAATTCTACACTGCGACGACTTGACGCTTTTCCCATGGTTCGATTTCTGAATCAAAATGAAGATAACTTCGATCTCAACGAGTCATGACTTCATCTGCAAGAGGATATAGGTGTAGGTTCGGGTATGGGCTTAAGTATGTATGAAAAGCAGGGCTACACCCATCGACACACTCACTCACACTTACACTTTTACATACAAGTACTCAAGATAAGACTAGTTCCATCATGTTTTACATGTAATCCCATAGAGACTGCACCGAAAGCTCTTCGTTTGAAGAGAACATCACAAAGGAAAGAAATAAACTCCGAACAGTGTCGACATCTGTAAATACGTTTTAGTTGAATTGAACATGAGGCGTCGGAGGAACGTGGGCGATAAGGAAAGTCATTTTTGGTTTTTATCATTCTTCTGTTTCATAGAAAGCAGCATCGTAGAAAGTTGAGTCTAACGCAGCTTTTAATTGATCATCTAAGATCTGCTTGGCTCATAAGCTTCAGAATTTTTCTTTGAGTCAGTCTGAGATATGCTGAAAAAGTGATGGATCTTCTCAAGAATACCACTATAAACAGCAATATAGCATGAAATAAAAATGTAGATATATAGATAGACAGGCGATACTCCAAATACACAGGTACATTGGCTTTGAAAACCTAGAATATCTTGTTCGATAAATTTCAATATAAGTGACTTCAATCAATCGATTTATATCTCTCATTTTATGCAACTCCTCAGAAATGAATCGTAATCCTACAACAAGATTTGGAGAAAAATCTTTGTTTTTCCTTACAGCTTTTACTGACACAAAATGATTTCAATCTGTGTCATGATTACGGAACGAATCGAAGAAACTATTTAACCTATCCGAATTGACCTTTATTTTCTGTTCACTTTGTTCAATCATCATAAAAAACTCTTGATAGTAATTAACAATTCCCATGAAAAGACCATTTTTTGACAGATGATTTGCCTTTTGGACGATGTTTTCAACGATTATGTAGTGCATTAATGTTCACGCACTTTTAATAGATGACTTTCCTAGTATTTAAACTTTGCCTCTAGAAAAAATTTTCCTGCTGTTTCCAAGCGTTCGTAGCAATCTGTGTCATGCCAAAGATACTATTCGAAGAAAATGTATTCTAAGTCAAATGGGATGGATGTCAACGAGTGTTCACAAACTCATCTTGTGCAACTCTATATATAGAGAATATCATTTTCAAGTTCTCGAGTGTTCATGGATCTTCGCTTGTTTGAAGAAGATGTACTCAAATTAGTCGTTGATAAGGGTTTGAGAAGATGGTTCTCTGCTGGTAACAATGCTTTTGATCGTGATGAGATTGGAAAAACCGAGACTTGTTCGATATCTCTTGGGGCTGATTTTAATGCCATCGATTGGATTTGATCTTCTTGTTGATTCAAAAATGAGTCAGGTGCAATCTAAATGAAATGTTATCCATTACTTAAATAACATCAACTAATCCATGTTTTACTTTGGATACTCCATATTTTGGAGTTTTTGATATTTTAGCTACAGTGATCGACAATGGTTGCGATTGTTGCATTTGCTTACTGTCCTTGATCGCACTGAATGAATGTTTGTTTAATTTTATGTATAACAAATCGACAAACGTAATTAAACTTGGAGATGTTGCTGTCACACTCCTATTCTTATATGCTTCTTTCAGAGTCAATAGAATTTCAATCATATAGCATGTCTCATCTGTAAGTTTTCTTCAATTTCAATATATTCCGAACAATAATGATTAATATTCAAATTGAATTCAAGACGAAAAACAAAAATATGAAATTTTGAAAAGAAAGAATTTATGAAATAGAGTAAATCAGAAGATCATTATGAACACATGATTTCGGTATCTATATAGTTGTTGACATCAGTCAAATAATTTTATTGAAACATTTCTTGCTGGGTTTGTTCATGTTATTGCAAATGAATTGTCCTGATTTTTAGAATGAGGGTCAATTTGTTCTTTAATCTCATCTTTTATATCAATAAACACACGATGAGTCAAAGATATTGATACTGCTTAGAAAAGTGACGTGTTCTCTCTCTTATTAACCCTTTGGCTTCCGGCTTTTTTTTGCGAAAATCCAAATTCTTATAAGAAATGTTTGAATATGGTTTTTACTTATTTTTTGAAAGAAATCGTATTTCTGTGTCAAAGAAGCACTAGTAGTTCATTTTTGCACCATAGTCTTTAAAGCAATCAACAATATATAGAGGCACATTGCAGTCAACATACATATACTATGTATCATATCGAGCATTATGGGATGTGCAAACTGCATTTTTTCTGAGAGACTGTTTTGATTGAGATGTTTGTAGAATAAGCAAAGGAAAAACATGATGTCATATACGAAGGTAGAAGAAAGGAGAGGGATCTATATGACAGAAAGAACAAGAGAAAAGACATACAAGTTGGGAAATGAGATAACCTATAACCTTTAGGACCTTACAGGTCATAGTACTATAGAAGGTGATAAAGAGAAGGAGTGTTTCCATCCTGGAATATCCCAAAATGATAATAAGCTAAGAGAAAACATTTCTGCAGGGACTAGACAATACATGAGGTATACATCAACAGTGAACAAATACTGGGACGTATATAGACTCGCCGGAAACCAAAGGGTTAATCTAGTTTCCGTCCAAATATGTATGAACTCAATCACAACCAAAAATGTTTTTCATTACAAATATGTTGGTCTCATTTTGTTAAAAATAACAAATTGATACGATTTTTGATCGCTAAGATATACAAGGTCAAAATTGAATCGATAAAGATTGCGTTTATTGTTACTTTATATAAAACACATAACCGTACCTTTCTGAGTACTTCTCATATAACTCAATCTCACTCAAGTGTTCATTCAGCACACTTTCTACTCCCCGTTGTCCTTTCTACTTCGTCTACAACTATTAAAGCTGTTCTTTTATCGGTCTACAATATCGGTTCCATCAATCACATTCAGCCAAAATAAAACTACCAATCTATTCATTGCCATATTTTCTCATAATCTTAATATTTTCCTCTTCCGGATGCATCCCTCGATGATTTTTTTCCCAAAACTCAGGTATATTCGGTAACGCCGCGTTCGAAGCTAATAATGTAGATTTAGTCTTTCGACACGATCTTGTCAAATATACATGCATCTATGAATTTCTCGAAGAAAAACGTATCATTGAGTATTGCAGTTATACGACCTGAAAGACATTCTTTTTTGACTCATACCAATAGGACTTCTATAGCTTGTTCATTGTTAGTAATTGTAGTTACTCAGTGTCCTAGTCTTACTAATTCGACAGTATCTACACTCACACCCGCAATCAATTTCAAGAATGTCGAAATGTTTGTGCGTCAGATTAAAAGTGTGGAGAACTCCAAGAGTCAATTAAGTAAACCAAGAGATTCTATCGGTAAATCATTATGAATTTCAAAAAGATTTTACTAGCAGCATAATCATCTGAGGGTAAAGACGTGTCATGTCTTATGTGATAACAAAAACTAAGTAAAAAAATAAAAAGAAACACTAGAAAGAAGAACAATGTCGTATAGTTAGCAAAAAAAATACGCATATGATAGCAATCATTTCAGAGCTTATGATGTTGCAACAATATTTGTGAGAGCCTATTTATTCATCTATACTGTACGCTTCTTCTAACGCGAGTTTGTCAACACGAAACTAACCGAAAACAAAAAAAAAACGCGATAGCGAATGAAGCTAAAGAGATGTAAAGTAGTGATTTTAACAGAGTGTCTTTTTTGTGATGCACGGTACGCGGTCATTTAAAAAGTTTCCACACTACAATATACGATCTGTCGTGGACAACACAATACTCTGCACGATGAATCGTCATGTGAAAATTCAATGTGCTTTGTTTTTTCCGGGTATATTCTTCCACATTTGCTCTTCATCAGGATGTGAATAGATAGGTCTCGATGTGAGTGGATGGCTGTGCAGTAGAGCCTGTCGAATTGATTCTGCACCCAAACTCAGGCTAATTCAAATCTGAAAATTTTGGATCCAGCGGGCTCTAGTCATCTAAGAAATATGTAGGATACGCTAGCCACTGAATACAAAAAAAAATATCCCGTATCTTGTGGACGTCTATCAGATCCCGATTATTTGACTTCATGTATTCTTTTTGAGGGTGTGAGTGTAGGTTTTTTTCTTTACTGGCAGATTTTCACTCATACACACACCCACACCCTACATATCTCATACACATATTGCAACAAATAATTATCCTTATTCTAGTTTTTATCATTATACATGGATATGTCGTGCCGATGTTACATTGTTTGTCGAAGTTATTGAACATCAACAGAACAAGAATATAATAATTCATTTTCATTTGATAAGAATAAATAAGTATTATACGAACTAGTCTAAAAACTTGAGAGTTGCATTGTATTGATATTTTAGATTTTTGTCATAATGTTCAGATGATATTACATTTAGTTGTTGATGAAATCGATCATTAAAGTGCAGTGTTCTAATTTGAAGTAAGACAACTAATATAAAAGAACTGTTTATGTATGAACAAAATTAACTATCTTTCAGATCACCGTCATATACTGAGACGTGCAAAAGCCCGAGTTTACTGATTTATTACAATAACATATCCAATTGATATAAGAAGTTTAATGAGATGTGATCTGAAAAAATAATAGGCCTCCGGAACTTATTTTTTAATTTATTAGATTCATCTAAATGTCGGCATTTTAATAAAATCTTCCGAGATATCGAAAAAAGAACTCTGAGAGCTCCTAATTCTGAATTTTTCTCAACAATATCTATATTATTTATTTATTCTTATAAAGTTATTAAATGTGCATAATTAAAATGAGAAATTAACTATAATCATATATATGTTGTTTATAATGTCATCAATCAATCGATTATTATTTGTTGTTTTAGTTGATGTTCGATAACATCGAGAAATAGTGTAACTTCGGTACCATATATCATAGAATCTTATTAGCCGTGATTCGATAACAGTTGTAGGTCTCCTCATTTTGATCGGTAGTATTGGTTACGCAACATTTGTCGTGATTCATTCTGAGTACTTAAATAGATGTGCATTTTAACTGACTGTGATAACTTAGTATGTATATCAGTAGAAAACAAATCAGCAATCATCAATTGAATGGCACTATAGCCTAAGCATGATGATAATAATAACAATAAATATTTTAATATTCGTTCTATATTAACCAATAAAATTTACTTGGCGTTCGTCTACTGGAAAAATTATAATAAAAGAATTACAATACCCCATACTATCTCACACTACTTATCCATATTATTAATATTTTTATAATAAATCAAGCCTTTTCGTTCTTTTCCTAATAATTGAAATTGCAAACAAACAAAAAAAAAAAATATATTAAAAATAAGAACCGCTCACTATAACAAACAACTTAACAACAAGAGATAAATAGTCAGAAAGAGAGAGAACAAGAACAAGATAATTAAGCACGAGTAAAAGAGAAAAAAAAACAGAAAGAAATCGTAAGGGAATGTGTTTGTAAACGAAACAGGAAGTAAAGCACTCAAAATTAGTTTATCACAACTCGGTAGGATCATGTATATTGATTGAATGTGTTTGATCACCATCGTCAACATTCATTGTATTCGTTGTGGATGTTGTTAATAATAAATTTGGTTTACCTTCTTCTTCCCATTGAGCCATTAATGTTTTTATTTCTTGATCATAATCAGCCCATTCAGCTATAATACGTGTAGCTGCTGTTAATTTTGGTTCCTTGGTTTGTGGATTATTGCAAAGATCTATTGTTTTAGCACGTTTTTTCGATTCATCATCACACCATGTTTCACACCAAAGCCATTCTTCAGGTAATGAATAAATATTAACTTGATGTATCATATTATTTGGTAAATCTTGATCAAGATTTGATAAAGAATTTGGATCTTGACTTAAACCATAATATTGACCACGAAGACGATCACCAGCAGCTATTTTACGAAATTTTTTCAAATCAATAACATAAAGTGCCGAAATATGATAACGTCGATGACCTAAATGACTAGCCCAATAACCACTTTTCCAAAATCGATAACCCTCCATCTCTCGGCGATTATCACAAAATGGAACATAGCCATATGGAGCTCCTAAAGATCAAATAAAAAACAATCTTTAGATAATTCTTAAGTGACAACTAAATAGTTCAAATGGTAATATTCGTTCTCAGATGTCAATCTAACTTCCTATCGATAACATGATAGAGCATGCTGAACATAGAGATCGAAGATGTGCGAAACTAGAGGAAAAAAGTTGTCCCAACTGAAACTTAAGATAATAGTTAAATATTCTACTGTTTTAAGCGAATCATCTTATAAATCATATCAATCAGAACATAACTCAAGAAAAATGACGCAAAAAAAGTGCTAGTCATCGACGAAATAAATCAAAAAATGAGTATTCAAGAATTTTTTTAGATGTAATAAGAATGAATTCTGGAATAGTTTCCTCTAAGCCAAGACTAGATTAGATTTACTGAGACCATAGTCGGAGCCACTTGAAAACATGTTAGTGTCAACGAGATAAAAAGCATAAAACTTGATCTTGTACATAAAGAGTGTATACGAAGTTGTGATCCCTTTTTCCAATAAATTATTGGAAAAAAGGGATCAGAATTTAGTACACATCCTTTATCTCTTAGGGATAAATCAATAATAATAATCAATATCAACCAGATAGACAACACCATTAAGCATATTCCGATCCACTATATGTGTATATAGTCACAAAGTATTTACTTCGGAATGTTTAACAATTCATCAACAGTTTCGTACCGACACTTCCACGTCGACACATGCGCGCGACATTTGCACGCAAAACCATCTTAGCTGTTCCGAGAATTTAATCGTTTTGTTTTTTGGAACACCAGGATGCTAGTGGCATCCTTAGGCATGCTACTAGCTTCCTCCGGAGTGCTAGTGGTATTCGATAGGATGCCTCTAGCATTCCTGCGGGTACTCATAGTATTCTGATGTTCCAAAAAAAGTTGATAAAACTCTTTGAACAGGTGAGTTCCATCAATTGAATTTCTGAAACAGAACTTGCTCTAAGCTCATGACCTGGAACCGTCCTATGTCTACTCCAGCTCATAGGAGGCAAGATGTTCACCAGCTCTTCGATTCAACTTTCACGAGCTGTAGAGCTGGAGCTGTCGCACACCTATTTGGAAGGATTGGTGTGCAAGTGAGGGATGTTCACGTGGGTGTGAGGATGGGTGAGATGTAGACGTAGATATGGTGCTGGGTGCGGTTATAGAGAAGCAATACACCTTACAGCTGCATTCATATCTACACCTAGGAACACCAATGCCCATACTTACGCCCAGCTACACTCATATTAATAGCCATCAACACTCACACCTACACAATTTTGCGCGAAAGTGTCTTGTCACGATTATAGATTAACAACTGTTCTATCTCTTTTATCCAACTTGAGCTATATTCCCTTCCGGATGATACTTGATTAGTTCTCATTTCTTCAAGTCGTCGACTTTGTTTTAACATGTGACACTTCAACTAACTAATTATAACTAATATCTATGATCAATTTTTAAAACAATAGAAAAATAATCAAAATTAATACCATGTAAATCCAAATCACGTAATTCTGCCAGATCAGCACGAACAACTTGATCAGCATCAACAAAAATAACTTTTTTTAAATCTAATGGAAATAATACATCAAGAAAAAGTATTTTATAACCCCATATAATACGTTGTTTTTCAGTTGGATAAACTGTTAACCATTTTGGCCATTTATATTGTACAAGTTCATATGTAAAATTATAATTTTTAGCATAATATGGTAAAAAACTTGTAAATGATGGTGACAGAAAATTTTTTAAAAACCAAAATTTTACTGATTTTTTCGTATTTTTAAGTACACTTATCATCATTATACGTAATAAACGTTCATAAAGATGACCACTAGCTACAGAAAATATATTTATTGTATCATCTGTTATATCATCAATTTTAGTTGATGATGATGATGATGATGATGGACTACTACCAAAACTAAATGAATCCCAAATACTACCAGAATTTGATGGTGTATCATCTGATGAATCTTCAAGTAATTTTTCATTTTCTTTTCCGGATTTTCTTCCAACATAAACTTTAATCCAACGTGCATCAAATGAACGTATTGCAATAAGAACCGGTTGACTTGTACGTGTTGATGAATCTGTATTATCATGTGATGCAATTGTATATATTTCATCAGAACGTCCTTCACGTAAATTTAAATACCATACACCTGGATAAGCTTTTAATTGAAAATAACCAAGATTAGCCATAACAATTGTATCAAAAATATTTTTTGTTTTATTTGTACCTAATATTAATTGTAAACCACGAGGATAACTTTGTGTTTCATCAAAACATTGTCCTTCAATTAATAAATATTGTAATTCAAAATTACCATTAATACCAATAGGTACATCTTCTAAATGTATATTATCCAAATCATAAAGTGATGTAACAGGTTCAACCATCCATGATTCTGGTGTAACCATACCTAATGTTAATATAGGTGTTTCAGGTACATGATGAAATACAGCACTTGGCATTTTTTCTAAATTAGTATCATAAACATAACGATAAAAACTTTTTAATGGCAGTTCAGATAATTGTAATTTACAATTAAAATATATAATAAGATCATGATTTATTGATTGACGTAAAGCGGATATTAATGATAATAAACGTTGTCCATCACGTGATGCTGGATCAATAATAGCTTCAAATAAAAATGCTGGTTCATCTGTACGTTGTGCTGGTAAATGAAGTACAGCTTTTGATGTTGATGATATACGTGGTGTTTGTTTACGTTGTACAGGTGAAGAATTTTTATCATTTTGACTTATTATTGATGATATACGCATAAGAAGATCAGATAATTGTGATGGATTATTAGATAATTCTAATTTATTAACTATATTTATAAGACGATCATTAATTGTTGTTGATAAATGTTTATCAAGTAGAATAAAATCATCTTCAGTAAATTGTTCATGATCATATAATGGTCCTAATATACGTCCATTGACTAAAACTAAACGTGAACCACGTGGTAAATGAAGACTATGTTGAATAAATATAGTATGAGATTGAAATATATTATCATTAAATGTTGCTATTTCATGTTCAAGTGTTTGACTACTAAGACCACTTACTGTAACATCCGACCATGTTTTACGTTGAGCTAATAAATCTTCAACAACACTTTCATCTTTAAGTAATTTGAAAATAAATGTACGAGCTATTGGTGGTGAAAGAAGACGAATAGCTGTATAAACAGCTTTTGTTATTGGATGACTACCTGGTTGAGATTCAATATCAAAAGAAGCCTAAATAAACAGATTCAATCGAGTATTAATTATCAAAGTTTATTATTTTTATAATCGAATAGTATGACTTATATATGAACAAACTGTTCCTGTTGGTACCAGGATCGGGGCTGAAAACAAACTTTTGTTTGGTTGCGACTCGAACGGGAATCGAAATTTTTTTGTTTTTGGTCGAAACGCAGACCGAGATCAAATTACTTTTAGGCTGGACACGAAATCAAATGTTACTTTGGACGGGACTAAATTTTTTAGGCGTCGACTCGGACCGGAACGGAACTTAGTCTTGGCCGGAACAAGGATCATATGTTTTTTGGCTTGAATCGGGATCAAGATCAACATTCTTTTATGATCGTGTAAAATTTGCAACGAAAATTATACTGTTACGATGCATGTATTGTAAATAGATATGAACAAGATCGTTCCGATCCTGGTTAAGCCGAGATCGAAAATGATGCACTCCCGTACTCCCTGGAGTACATCGTATTTCCTTTTGCTGGTCCTGCTCATGTCTAATATAACTTCAACAAAAACAACTAATAAGAATTGAAAACAAAAAAAAAAAATTCTTCTTAAATTTATTCTTGTTGTTGTTTTTTGTTATCAATAGAATTTTAAAAAAACAAATCACCTACCAATAAACCTAATCTTGCATGTGTATGACTTTTTAAATATGTTAAAGCATTAAGAAATAATTGTCGTCCATCGGGTCGATCAAGATTACAAGCAATCCATAATGTAATAGGATAAAGTGGTTGACCTAATTCATCTTTTTTTCCTAAATAAATCATACTAGCCATAATAACACTAGCTTGTTCTCGTACAGATAATGTTTGAAATTTTTTTGAATCTAATATATCATTTGTTTGACCATTTATTATTGATAAATCAATATAAATTGTTGGCATTGATGGTGTTTGTCCAAATATACGTTGATTTAAACGTTTAACAACATTTGGTTTTGTATTTAATATTTCAATAATATCATCTGTATCTTTTAATTGTCCATGATAAACTTGTTGTTGTATATCAAATTGCATTTTTAACATACGTGTTGTTATAACATCATCAAATGATGTTGGTAATAATTCATCTGATGTTAATGGATTACCATTAAATAAAACATGTGGTAAATTACGTGATAAACCACTTTGTTCAAAATATAAATTTGTTTCATGACGTTCATTTTCAAATGGATTTGTTTCATCAAATATTGATGATAAACTACCAGAATATTTTGCTATTTTTGAAAATGTTTGTTTAACATCAGTATTTTGACTTTTATATAATTCATTAATAAATGTTAATGCACGTTTTGGATTTCCATTATATTTTAATAAATAACGAAATGCACGATAAAGATTAATACCATATTCATTTGTTGTTACAAATACTAAACCAATACGTATTGGTAATTCATGAACAAAATAAGCTTCAATATTTTTCATTAAATCTTGTAATGTATCAATTTCTGATGGATCAATAATAATAACAAGATTATAAAGATTTTTACGTATTGTACGAAGACCACCAAAAAAATTATTACGTAATAAATCATAATAACTTGATGGCCATTTTGAATATTGATTATCTTTTTCAAGATCATTTAACCAAAGTATTGATGGATGACGAAAATCAAGTACATAACTCATTGTTTGAATATTTAATTCATTTGTTAATAATTGTCTTACATGAGATTTATTTAAACCAATCATATGTAAACGTTCCATCATTTGTCCTTCATTTAATAATATATTTAATAATACATATAAATCAATTGTATCTAATGATTGTTGTATAGAATTAATAAATAATGCTGAATTACCCGGTTCAATTTCCATATTTGAACGAAATTGTTCTTGATTAGATTTATGAGATTCACGAAATGATGAATCAACTTTAACTTTTGATAAAACACTAAGATAGATAATTAGACAAACCTTGTCAGAACAACTCTTTTAGTTAGATTAACATATGGAAACTCACAATGTGTTCTTTAACTTTATCAAACTAATACAACATACATCAAATGAAAATCTCGAATCGACTATAGTTGTTCTCTAAGAATGACTGATCAGTAGAGAAGTGATCTGTCCTACTTTATTTCTACATTTAGAACAGATTTCTTTTTACTGACGCTCTTTCATTTGATTTTAATTATTTTTAAATCATAAAAAGTCAGTTAAAAGCAGATTGTTTTTTTTCTATAAGAAGAATATGCCCGAACAGTGATCCTAAGTGTCAAAAGTTTTCGAAAATTGAGATGCTTTTTTGGTGCTACAGCGGCGACGATTGAGCCGCTTGGCTTACGCCTACTCGTTAGGTTTATTTTGTGTAGACCATTTTTCTTTATTTAACAGTATTATTATTCTAACCATTTAATGAAAAATTAAGCCTTTTGTACACATCTCTTATATTCACAGTAGGTCTCCATGTATTACTATACATCTCGATAAACTCAGAATCATTGATATTGATTATTTCACCAAGTGATGACTCGATCAGTGTGCAAAAATAAGAAGCTGCGATATTGAGAAAATTCACACACGTATTGCAGGTAAAGATGTATAAGGTAAGCCTTTTATTTCGTACTCTGCACTCTGACTGAGGGAAATAGTCTAAACCTGCCTTGGAAAACCTCTACCTTAACTCTTTATAGTAGGATATGGTAGCCGTGCAAATTTCTAGTCTCAGCCATTTAAATTCCACGGAAAGCTTTGAAATGTTCTAGAACAGCGTAAGCCTTATTCTCAATGCCGTTGAACACCTTTATCTGTTGCTAAGAAACCATAGGAGAAGGAGAAAAAAAGACGGAAGAATATTCCTGCCTTGTGGTATGGCGTGCTGCCTAATGGCATATTCAGTAGCCCCATATCTTTCTTACAACTATGGCTAGTTGTAGCTCTGAACAGAAGGTCAGTCTGACCCAGAGTTCTTGCGCTTCCCATACACACTAACCAATCAAACGAACAAGTGTATGTCACAATTGACTTGTCCAAGGTCATTTCATGGTTGACGATACCGAGGTTTGAGCATAATATCTTGTGGATACGTGTCGAGCAACGTAGTCACTCAGCTATGGCGGTCTTGAAAAAAAAGTCTGGTGTTTAGAGCCCAATCGGGTCCGAGTCCGGAAATTCTTGGACCTGATAGGTTCTATTGCTGTCTGTTGTCCTTGATTGCTTGACGAAATGTACTCATTGATCTCTGAACATTCTCCTGTTGCTAAGACTCAAAATACGGAAGGGAAGATAAGTTGAAAAATTTCAACTTAAAACTTATACTCAATATTATCTTTCAAAAAATATATTTAAAAAAATTCTATTATTCTTTGTTTTTCTTTACCGAGCACGAGAAGGAAAATTTTGTGAAAGTTCAACTAATGTATTAAATGCTTCTTCAGGTGTTTTTTCACTTAATGCACGATATGCACATTGTAAACTAAGATCTTGCATTTGCCATGCTTTAAGTGGTGTCATTGGATTTGAACCATCAAGAAGATATGTACGAAAATCATTTAATTCAGTTTGTTTGTCTGGATGAAGTTCTTCAAAGAAAGCAAAAAAAGAAAGAAATAGAATATTAAAAATCAATGATGATGATTTCAAACCGTTAAGTTTTGAAAAAATAAAACCATGAAGTTGTTCTTCTTGTTTTTCATTATTGAATTGTGATGTTGTTTCATTTAATTGATCATCACGAATCTAAAATTATATACAAAATAAACTTATTGAAAAACAAAAAAAAAGATTTTTTTTTGTTTTTAATGTTCGATATATTCTTTTCTTTTATTGTTCTCAATTTCGAAGAAATATACTTACTTTTGAATCATCTGTTGCTTTATATTCAGTACTTTTTATTTGTAATTCAACACCATAACCAGCCAAACGAACTTTTCGTTGATCATCAATTGATATCTAGAAACAAACAATAATAATGAAATTTATTGTATTATTATCTTTTTTTTTTAACTCACTCCACGATTATGTCTCAAGACATAATCAATTTTTCCATTATGTGATAATTCAACAAGTTTACTATGAAAAGGTTGAAACTCATATTGATTACCGAAATCACCATAGAGAACAACAGTAACTAATGATTTCTGTTCAATATTATTATTATGATTTGGATAATGATGATCGAATGGTAATAAAAATTTCGATCTAAACAATAAAGAGAACAAAAAAAACACAATATTACTTTATAATTCAAAAACATTCATTTTCTTATCTTCAATACATTTTAAAACAGAAATAATTCGAATTTTACGAGAAAACTTTGTCAAGTGATAAATCTTACTTAGATATAGGCAACTACTAGAAAATAACATTACATTTTTCGCTAATATATGTTTTACTAAGCGCAAAACCGATTGGTTCCGTTCATCAAGTTCAACTCCGAAAAATTTTAATCAATCGCATCCGGATCCGACGGACTCTAAACAGTACTCATATTCGGAAAAGATTCTAATTTATTAAATGATCAAAAGTAGAATTTTTTTTTTTTTTTTTCAACGCACCGTTCATTAGCTGATTGAATAAGATTATCAATATCATCAACATTACAAGTATATACACCATGTATATCAACAAATGTTGAACATTCACGTGTCATACCAGTATCATGAGCCATTTTACGCATCATTTGAACAGTTGGTGAATAAAATCGAAGTGCAAGTGCCATATGTAATAAACTATTTGTTATTATATTCAAATATTGACTACAAAATGATAATAATTCAGCATGATAATTTTCAGCTGTAGCAACTAAATACAAAAAAAACTAAGATAAAATATAATAAAAATTTTATTTTCATACGTGCATCTGGTGTAAATACTGGAAATGAACTAACATCATTAATTAACGACCAAAAATCTTGAGGATTTTGTGTTGCAAGAAATTCACTGTTTAAAAAAATAAATTTCATTAAATTAAAATTCTTTTCTCTCTCTCTCTATATACCTTGCTTCTTGATGAAGTGGTGTATCTAACCATTTAGCATCAAGTGTAATTGAAACAAATTTATTTTTAACTCCATAACAACCAATTATAGATAAAATAAAGATTAATGAAACTTTTTGATAATTCATTCTTGTCTTTTCATTATCTAGAATATTAGCAGAAAAAAAACAAAACTACCATCATTATTGACAAAACATTTCTTTTTTCTATTTATAATGTTATGTGCTTCGTTTTTGTTGTTTTTTTTTTTTGCTGACCACAAAGAAAAAATGTACAAGCATGCGCAACAACAAACTGAATAGCTAATTGTGGCAACACATGTGCCATTAATAATAATAATAGTACAATACGTATTGACAGAAAAGAGAGAGAGAGAGAGACAGAAGAAAACTACTTTTTGCTTGCTAAATGCGTTTGTGTAATCACATTTAGTATTGACAACAACAAAAAGAAAAGAAAGAGAAAAAAAACCGAAAATGTACATTAATGAGAAAAAAAAGAAAAGATCATTTCAAAAATCGATTTTATTTTATTTTATTTGTTTTTTTTTTTTTGGATGATGGAACTTCTTTTAATAGACTATTTGTTTTAAAATATTCGCTTAAATCAATTGCTATTAAGATGGACTATTATGGCCATTGACTTGGTTTGACTCACTCGGCTGTTGATTTTCACCTAGATTATTATTATTAAGCCCATTTAATGGATAACCATTATTTATTGCTGGTCGAACTGGTGGACGAATCATTGCAAAACGTGCTGTTGGATCGACAATTGCATGTTGATATGAATGTGTTGGAGCCATAAACGGTGGTCGAAAACCAGTAGGTTTCTAATTATAATTAAAATATAAGTAAGATATGTTTTAAGAGGATCTTATCTTTCAAATACTTTTGAAGAAACGGCTCATTAGAAAATTGTAGATAGATCTCAATGAATACAGCATCCTATAGGAGATATTGGGCTTGATCGGATGTACTGTAGTTAAACTAGTAGAATCCATTGGATCGAACCGTACTTTGATATTCTTAATGAAATTTTCTAATCGGACTTCGATAGTCACGTTCCGAAGAAGGAGGTACTTTTTCCTGGTTTTTAGTGACTAGTGTATCCTATACAGTTCTTACACAACTAGAGCTCAATGGGTCCGGTACATAGAGAATACTACGAAGTGTATATAGAGCAGCAAAAACGAAACTGTTCTACTTAAGATCTTCCTTCTCAAAAAATGTCATTAATCGTCAGAGTCATTGCAATTGAGATAAATACATAGGAAGATAGTTCATGATCTGATCTTTCATAAGTGACAAAACTTTTTCTCCGTTTGTAGTTTCTTAATCGTTGACAATCTAAATTTGTCTGTCAATACTCATTCTATATATTTAATTTATTTCTTTTTTTTGTTTGACAGAGCACGTCAAGACGCAGTGCAGTATAGAGAGTACTCTTTTTGATTAAGCTTTGTATTGAATATTTATATAATAAGAACGCTATTTTTAGAGAATTTTTTGAGTCCTTGAATTTTCAATGCTTTTTCTTCTTTTAGAAAGTAAAAATTTTAAAAAAGAGAAGACTTTGTACTGCACTGTATTCAGATATGTTCTTTCAAACAAAAAAAAAGTTAAATATATAGAATGAACCTCAACAGAGAAATTTGATTTGCTAAATGAGCTACTTTTGATCCTTTTTTGATCAATATCTTTCTCAAAAGTCATAATATCGGACTGAAAATTTTACCATAGCTTTTTCACTGCAGTCCAAAATGTCATGTCATTTTAACGTTCCTAGGTTGAGATCGATTTTTGAGAGAAGGAGTCAAATTTTTAACAAGATCAGTGTCATAACACCGAAGATTTTTGTTATCTTCTCTAACAGTGATTTATAATCGTATTGTCTAATAACGGAAGATACTCTGTAAAGTATTTTCAAGCATTATGAAGCTCAATGTTAAACTGGCTAAAGAATATACTTAAGTAATCTGAAAGCAAAACTTAAACAAAAAGAATTCCTAAGTAGATGATATAAGATATAGATGCGATTCGTTTTTCTTTATCGTACTCCTTCTCATCCTCTACATACATCAGAGGAAATGAAGGATGAGCACTGTTGCATTACAGCGCAGATTCAGTAGCCCGATATTTTCTCTCTAGCTGGCAGAAGATCAGTCTGACACAGAGTTCTTGAACTTCGGCCACAAGAGTAGGTGTATGTCATAAAATGCTATCAGACGAATGTCCGTTAAGGGTCATTCCATCGTTGTGTTGGTACTGAGATTTGCCACTCAGTTATGGCAGCTAGATGCATCAGATGATTCCTATAGGAATTTATTGTGTAAGTAAAACGTATCTAATCCTATAGACAAAGTCTTATACGACGATTGATACATTGCAATCTTTCGAAACTATTTAACTTAAGTAAAACTTGACTTTTTCATAAAGTCGTGTTTTTATTATTAACTTACCGGGCCAGTTAAATTGTTTTGTAATTTAAGTAAACCATTAGCTTTGAAAATTTCTTGTTCATCTGGAAAATCATCATCATCATCTGATGGTTGTTGTTCTTCATATTCTTTAGGTGGAATTTTATTTTGTTGTTTTGAAACATCGTCTATCTCTTCTGGTATTTGATCTTGTGATGGTGATGCTATTAAAATTAAAGAATAAATTTTTATTATTAACAAAAACAAAAAACAACAATAACAAATATTTTTACCTGCAGGTTTCTCTTCTTTTGGTTCTTCATCTTCATCAACTAATTTTTTAATATGATCTGTTATACTTGATCGTGTTATTGATTTTCCATATTTAACTATTTTACGTTTACGTGCTAATTTTTCATAATCATCATCATCATCAACAAATGAATCATCACTACCACGTCGTTTTTTATAACGCATACGTCTTGGTGGTGGACGACCATTTTCAAGTAAATCATCATCATCATCATCATCATCTTCATCATCATCATCGTCTTGTTGTTTAGCATAACTTTTTTGAGCTGCTGTTCGTGTTGATCGTCGTCGATCATCATTACCTATTTCATTTAAATCAGTATCATTCATTGTATCAGATTTTGTTGTATCCATTGTTTGTATATTGCTTAATTCAGTTTCCGAAACTAAATTTTAATATAAAATAATACATAATGAAAAGAAATTTCTACATACGAGAATCATCATCATCATCATCATCATCAGATTTATTTTTTGATTTACGACTTTTACTACGATTAGATCTAATTATAAAATATAGAAACAAAAAAAATGTTTTGTTTTTGATGAAACTTTTACTTTGATTTTGATTTCTTTCTTGAAGATGATCGACGTTTACCTTTCCAACCATCATCATCATCACTTGATTCATCATCATCATCGTCATCATTATAATTCTCTTCTTCACTTCCACTTCCACCCGAACTTTTAGAACAAACAAAAAAAAAATATATATATTTAGTTTTGACAACAAAACAACACACATACCGATTTGGTTCAGGTGCAAATTCATCATCATTTTTCGGATCAGATACATCAAAATCTTCATCTTTTTCATAACCAGCACGTTTTTTTGGTGATTTTTTCTTTTTTTCATTACTCGATTCATCTAAAGACAATAATATTTATTTGTATTAAGTCATCAATAGCAATACATAATAAACCTATGACGACCTTGGACTGTTTTCAAGTTTTTCGATCCGAGAAGGTCATTTCAAGAAAATAGCTGAATTTTATAAAAATAGACTAAAAGTTTTAAGGGTTTAGAAATCTGAATCTATTGAAGGTTTATCGAAATTCTCGAGTTCGATTTTCTCGTTTGAGAAGGACTTATAAGGGAAACGCTTCAACTGCATCCTTCCGATGTTAGTGTTCTAATAAAAAAAAAAACCTTAAAAGAATTTGGATTTTTCTTCAAATTTGACTCAACTATCGAATTTTAATCTGAAACAAGACAGCGTGATATCTCACAGAGACATAGTACAAAAATTATGACTTTTTTTTTTATTATAGAAGTTAGTCTAGTTGAGTTTTCTATATGCTCAAAGTTTTAGATCAAAATACGACTTTTCCGAATATCTGAGGCTTCGAGAAAAAAGAAAAAGTTCAATAGCTTAGTCAAAGGGTGAGATAGAGTTGTTAGTTAAATCGACCCTATAACAATTTTTCGAATCAAAAAATTGTTATAGTGCTGATTCAGCTAGTAAATCTACCCCAGTTCTTTTATTAGGAACTCAAATTCTATTCGAATTTCTACTACCAGAACACTATATACTATCTATACGTAAAAATATCATTGAAATCAGAGGAAGGCAACTGAAAAAAGTACTCTCATTAATTCTTACGGTTTAGCCATGTTTTATAAAACTTAGCTATTTTCTTCAAATGGAACTCACCCGACTAGAAAAGTCAAAATGAATCTAAGATGCCAGTAGTTTTATTATGGGGTTCACTGTTATTCTATGCCTGCATGTCTAGTTATTAACTAAGACTCTATTTGTTTCATAAAATTTTAATCATTAAAATACCTGAATCTTTATCAATTTCATCTCCATTAACTCCAGCTTCAATCATAGCTTCTTTCATTTTTTTATCATATTCATCAAAACGATAATTTTGTGGTTTTCTTCTACATGATCGTACACCAAGTTTTCCTGTTTGTTCATCTCGTCGATTTTTTGATTTTTCTTCACCATCTATACTACCATCATCTTTAAAACCATAAACACTATCATCATCATCATCATCATTGTCATCATTGTCATTTTCTTCTTCTTGTTCCTGTTCTTCATCTTCATCTTCATTTTCTTCATCACTATAAACAATACCATTTGTTCGTCGTTTTTTTGTTGATCGTTTAACCATTCGATCAAGATTTAACATAACATTAGCTAAACGATTACTACGTTTTGACATACATTGATTACGTTTTATTTCAAGTTCTTCATGTTCTTTTATAAGTTGTATTAATTTTTCAATTAAATTATCACATAAACGTTTATGTTCACATAATGGACAATACCAATCACCATCTGGTACAGATAATAATATTGGTTTAAGACATTCTAAATGATATGCATCATCACAATCATCACATAATAATAATGATTCAGGTCGATCAGTTTTTGAACAAACACAACATGAACTTGATGATGTTGGTAAATCTTCAATATTATTTTCATTCATTTGTCCATGACGTTTAGCAACTGTTTTAGCTGAACGACGTGGAATAAATTCATCATCTTCTTCTTCTAATAAATCTTCATCATTTAATTCATCTACTTGTTTTTGATCAGGTAAATAATCATCAGAATTATAATCATCATCATCTTCTGATGGTTGAGGTTCATCGTCACTTGATGAACATCCATTCATGGATGTTTTACCATTACCACGACCACGACGACGGCGACCACCACCTTTACGACGACCATTCGTTTTTGATGTTTGAGAAGATATTTTTATATTTGTCTGACTAGAAGTTTTACATTTACCATTTGTTAATTTCTTTTTTGTTGGTGTCTAAATTTAGTTAATATAATAAAGTAAATTATAATATTAAAAAAACTATTTGATAAAAGACAAAGATTTTTCTCATCAGTAGATTTCATCGAATGCGGATCCAGAGATTCTTGAATCCGATGGGCTCTACTCATCAGCCATCTGTTATTTGAATATACAAGGTGACTCATAAATAACTAGACGATAAAAACAAAATGCTTTAATCCATCCGGTCGATGAGTACTCGTCAAAGTTTTTATTCATAAGGAAACTGTCATACCTAATCACAAGAACAGGTGTCTATGTTACAATGTAATCAGCATACTACCGGAGGAAGGATGTGAGACAAACAGTCAATAGTAATTTTTCTAGGGCTATCCCAAGGTTTGAGCACAGTGCCTTGCGCATAACAAAGCGTCCACTCAACCAAGGTGGGCCCAGGTCACTATGACCAGCTCAATCGCATTCGTTGGAATTAAAGCGAAGTTATGATTTATGGCAACTCCGCTCACTGTCAGTCCTTTAATGAAATTAGTTACGCTATGATTTGCATCTAAATGTTCAATAGCTGTTCATATTTTACAGTGTTACACTGATCAGATCGTAAATTTATTCCCTTCTTAAGTGATAGAATTCATATGGGAATAAGCTAGTCTTTTTGGTAGAAGTGTCGGGATTCCTCGTTCCTAAAGAACGAAATCCACTCGAAGATTCGTTTCCGTTTATATTGAGACTTACGGACGTGCTTATTCTTTCAATCTGTATGGGTTCCGGGTTCTCAAGAACGGAACCAGGATCTAACACTCCTACTCATTGGTCTATATTTCTAAGACAGTACATATGCTAAAAATTTCAGATATTCACTCTTAATCCTGTGACGGCAGGCTTATTTTTCGAGCAAATATTGCCGATCATGAAAAATGATTTAAAGATGTAATGTTTTTATCAGTAGCATCTATTTATCAGAACACAAAAAAATATTGAAAAGGCCTATTTTACTATATTCTGGCTCCGCTGTCAAAGACTTACGAGCAGCTAAGATCACACAAAGATACATTTGGTTCGTTGTCTATTCCCATATTAAAATCCATAGTGCTAGTATGAAACCGTATCAATTAATAGTGTATAAAAATTTTCAAGAGATTAGTTCGACTGATTAAAGTATACTGTGCTTTTATCATCTAATTATTTATGCGTTATCCTATATTCTAACTCAAAAGTCTCAATGCAGAAGATGCTCTCTCCCTTCTTACACCGCATCTACAAAAAACTTTGGAATATTTTTAGAAAACTATATATCTATCGAATTTGTCGTTCCTTCCTATTTTTAAAACCTATTGAAAAACTTGTTCTTACTTGTGAAACAGATTTTGCTGGACTAGATGTAGCAGAAGGAAGTTCACTTGTTGGTGCTTTTCGTATACGTCTTGATCGACGTAATGCAATAGGTAA